GGCAAGAGAGATCCAGCAACAGGGTGTGTTTTTTTTGTTTTGTTTTGTTTTGTTTTTTCAATTTTTGGCAACATTTTTCTTCGTGATGTCAGAAGTAGTGAACTCCCTGACTAGGGTTTCACACATGGGCTGTTCTGATCCACCAATCACCAAAGGGCTGGGGAAGAAGTGATTTGCACGTGGATAACCTGTGTCACCTACAACATGGAACAGAGGGTCATCAAAGTGGTCTGAGTCACTTTAATATGTGGCTGGAGAGATGCGACAACAACAGAAAGAGACTTCAGGATGCATCCCCCCCAAGGTCAGTGAAGCTCAGTGCAGCTGCGGGGTGTGTGTGGGGTGCAGGGTCATAGGGCGACCAGGTGACCAGGCTGATGGGGAGGAGAAATGCTCTGTTAAGGGTGTTGTCTCTGTCACCTCTTCAAGAAGCAGCACAGTCTCAGGCACATGCTCCCTCCTGCTCCCCGGCCCGCACCGCCCACCCCACCCCGTCACCGACCCACTGCAGCTCTTCCAAGATTCTTCCCTCCATTCTGGGACCTCCCCTTCCTCCTGAGCCCCTGTGGCCTCTTATCTTACTCCTTCTCCCCAGTTCTTTGTACCTCCCTCCTATCCCTCACTCTCCTCCCCTCCCATGCTAAGCCCCTACTGGTTCCCCCTTCCCCACTTCACCTCCACTCACACTCCATCTTCACCCTCCATTCTAGTCCTTCCCTTCCTCTCTCCTCACTCTGACTCCCCCAGTAAACTCACTTCCCATCCCCTCTGTCCATGTCCTTACCTCAGTTTACCTCCCTTCCCCTCTCCTCACCTCCCTTGGATGCACCTGACCTCTCCTGCCTCCCTCCCCTTCATTCATGTCCTTTCCTTCTCTCTCCAGTTCCATCTCCTCCAACATGCTCCCCTACCCCTTTCCTTCAGCCTCTGTTGACCTCTCCACCCTCCAGTAGTCCCCTGCCCTCTCCTGCCAAGGCCATCCCTCCCAGCCATCCCTCCCAGCCATCCCTGCCCTCCTCACCTCACCACAGTTGGCTCCATGTGCCTCAGCTCCCTTCCCCTCCCTCTTCCCTGCCCTGAGAGCCATCCGGGTTTCCTTTCCAGTCTCCCTCTGCTCCTGTGCTTTCTTCCCCTTCCCTCACTTCTCCTGCTCTCTCTTCTCCTCAGTTCCCCACCCTGCCTCTCTGCACCTGCCCAGTTTCCCCCAACTCCCCTTCATGCTCCCTTCCTCCCGTTTCCCTGCCCAGCTCCTGAGTTGGACCACCTTAGATCAGCGCCCTGCCCTGTGCCTGCCCCTGCCTGCTGCCCACCCTCCCTGCACACAGCTCACTCCTCCCTCTGGCCCTCCTGCTGAGCAGGCGGCTCCCCCACTGCCCTGGGCCTGCCCACCTTCCCCAGCCCCGCAGTCAAGGCTCTCCAACTCCACACCACAGGGGTGAGGGCAGAGATGCACCCACTCCAGGGCTCTGCTTCCTCCAGCGGGTCTCAGATCCTCCATCCCGGCTAAGCTCCATGGCCCATCCCTGCCCTGGGGGCGACACCACAGGGACCTTCTGCCCACCTTGCCAGGCTTTTCAGAGGCGTCGGAGCTGTGGTCAGGCAGGCGAGTGGGGAGCAAGCCAGAGATTATAGATGCAGAGCCTGGGGCAGTCCAGGCAGGGGGCGCTGTGGTCCCTTTTGACCACTTCTGTGACCTTGCCACTTGAACCCTCCAGGGCCTGTGTCCTCACCTCCAACGTGAAGATCAGGCTGGGCCATTATTGCAGAGCTGCGCTGAGTGTTGACGAAGGGGCGTGTCACGTGTTATTATAGGTAGCTGGTGTTCCCTGAGCGTTTGGAAAGGACGCTCTGTAAAGTACTGTGAACTAACCGCAGAGCTGGGCACAGCATGCTTCATGATCTCATTTTATACTGACGTGTGTCGTCATTGTGCTGTCAAGTATAGTATTCTCCGGCCACATCATTTGTTAGTAGTTTGACCTGCATGGGGGGGGGGTGGTGGCAGTGTCACCCTCACTGCTGCTGTGCTGATGTCAGCGGGAGCCGCCGGACCACAGCAACCCGCGCGCCCCCTGCGGACTAACTCGGGAACAGCCCGCGTCCCGCCCTGAGCCTCCGGATATGGGCGGGACCGGGCCAGGGCAGGGCCAGGCGCCTGAGCGGAGGGGCGGGGCCAGGCGCCTGAGCGGAGGGGCGGGGCCAGGCGCCTGAGGGAGGGGATCCAGCCCAGGATCTAGGAGTCGCTCGGTGCAGGACAGGGCCAGAGTTCACACCCCTGGCTTAACCTACACGTAAATTTTTTTAACGTGCAGGTGTGTTACATAGGTATACATGTGCCATGTTGGCTTGCTGCACCCATCAACTCGTCATTTACATTAGGTATTTCTCCTAATGCTATCCCTCCCTCAGTCCCCCACCCCCTCCCCCGAGAGGCCCTGGGTGTGTGACGTTCCCCACCCTGCGTCCAAGTGTTCTCATTGTTCAGTTCCCACTTATGAGTGAGATCATGCGGTGTTTGGTTTTCTGTCCTTGTGATAATCTGCTGAGAATGATGGTTTCTGGCTTCATCCATGTCCCTGCAAAGGACATGAATTCATCCTTTTTTATGGCTGCATAGTATTCCATGGTGTATATGTGCCACATATTCTTAATCCAGTCTATTATTGATGGATATTCGGGTTGGTTCCAAGTCTTTGCTATTGTGAATAGTGCTGCAATAAACATACGGACCTACATGTAACTTAACCAGTGTGTGTCAGGCATAGATATGGGCCAAGAAGAAAAGACAAAGTAGGCGGGGGCGGCTCCAGGACAGCGATGACCTGGGTCGCTTCATTCAGTGCCTGGGGAAGAACAAAGCCACTTGGAGATTAACGCCATGACAAGAACGAGGGATGACATGTGTGCAGTTGTGGGTTTCATGTTTACTTCCTACGACTCTAGAGGACTTGCCCACCTGTTCACCCATAAACCAGTGCCCAGGGCCCCGCTGCCTGGTGGGGGCTGCAACTCCCCCATCACTGCCCCCTCCCCTCCGCTTAGCTCCTGGCCTGCCCCAATCATCCTTTAGTTGATGAGTTGGTGACGCTGCCCTCTTTTTCCTCCCTACACCCTCTCTCCTCTCCCCCAGGTCCTGCTCAGCCTCAGTCTTCGGTCTCTCTGACCCACCGGCCCCAGCATCCCCCTGGTCTCTTGGGTCCTCACCTGCATGCTCCCGAGCTCACCTCCAAGTTGAGCCTGCCCTTCACAAGGCTGGCCCCCTGCAGCCCATCCCTCACCTGGGGCACCAGGGCCGTCCACTTCCTCCACTCTCCTCACACCCCCAAAGCCACTCAGGGCTCCCCTGAGCAGCTGGGCTGGAGTCCACCCACCAGCTCCCCTAGTTATACCTACTCCCCTCCCCTCAGACCCAGCCCCCCCAGGTCTCCAGCCCCATTCATGGACAGAATGGCCTCCTAGGCCTCTCAACACTCACCTCCCAGCAACCCCTCAGCCCTGCCCTCCCCAGGCACCAACTTGGGACCCCCCAGAGGCAGAGACACCTATTCCCACTTGGGCTCATGTCACCACAGCTCACTGGGGATGCTGAGCCTGAGCCCAATCTTGCTCCATCTCTCCAGTTCCTTTCTCCAATCCAAATCCTCTCAGACTTGCAGTGTCACCCCAGGAGCCATCTGGACACCCAAGGCACTGCCTAACAGAGATGGCCATGCTCTTCCCTGCAGGGATGGATAAGGGACACCTGCAGTGTGCAGGTCACAGTCTGAACCTTTGGAATGGTGTGGCAGGCTGTGCCCTGCCAGGGACCCCAGCAGGGCCCCTGAATGGCTGCTCCCCATCAGTCACAAGGAAGACTCTCGATGATCATCCCTGCTGCCTCTGAGATGGGTCCGGAAAGGCATGAGCTTCTGAAGCACCTGGGTCGCCATCTGGGAAATGGCAGTCATGATCAAGTCAATCCCTTGTGCCCCAGAGACACAGTAACTCCCCAGTAGAATCCCAGAGGGGTTGAGTTCACCCTGGGCAACATAGCAAGTTTCCATCTCTACAAAAAATAAAAATGTAACCGGGAGTAGTGGCGCACACCTGTAGTCCCAGCTACTTAGAAGGCTGAGGTGGGTGGATCACTTGAGGCCAGGAGTTTGAGGCTGCAGTGAGCTGTCATTTTGCTACTGCACTCCAGCTTGGGTGACAGAAGGGAAGGGGAGGGGGAGAGGGAGGGAGGGAAATGGGAGGGGAAGGGAGGGAGAGGGGAGGGGGAGAGGGAGGGAGGGAAATGAGGGGCGGGAGGGAGAGGGGAGTGGAAGGGAGGGAGAGGGGAGGGGAAGGGAGGGAGAGGGGAGGGGAAGGGAGGGAGAGGGGAGGGAGAGGGGAGGGGAGGGGAGGAGAGGGAAGGGAGGGAAAGAAAGAGAGGAAGGGAGGGGAGGGGAGGGAGAAGAGGAGGAAGAAGAAGAAAGAAGGAAGAAGGAAGAAGAATTCCAGAGGGGAAAGAGCCACCGAGGGTATCCCCACACTCTTTGCAAGCATCTATCTGCCTGAAACATGCATGTGTGAAACTCACTGTAGGCAGCACAACCAAGATGGAAAATGAGACCTGAGAGCAGCCTCTGTGGTCTTTGAGAGGGACCCAGGTGATGACCAGAGGCAGGGAAGCTCCGTGGGAGGGAGAAACACAAGTAGATGGCCTCTGTGGCTTCCAGCCTGGGGCAAAGGGTGCTCAGTCTCAAGATGCTCAGTAGGGGAAGGGCTCATGTGGGAAAAGGGAAATCGAAAATCCTGCCGCCTGCACAGCACGGGGAAATCACCCGAGACTCCAAAGTGTCATTACTGTGATGTCTGTAGCATAACATCCACATCGCTGTAACATCCACGGGGGCCTCCCTAACACCACCAGGCTCTGGAATCGGAGAGCAGGAGCTTCGCGCTGGAGCTGAAGTGGGTCTGAGTACAGGCTAATCTCTATCGCGTGGCTTACTATTATCCCTCCTTTAGGGACATGGTCGTTTTAAAATATTTTACTTTGAAATAATTATAGAACTTATAGAAAACTGCAGCGGCAGCATCATGGGTGCCTGCTCCCTTTGCCCAGCTCCCCCAGGGCTTCTAGTTTTGTCACGTGTCCCCATCACCATGATGGACTCGGCCTCGCTGACCAGCCCCAGTGGACGGCACCAAGGGCAGGCAGGATCACACACTCTTTGCTCAAAGCACTCCATGACCCTTCCTGCCCCACACACCCTCTCCATGCTCCCACATTCTCTGCCCAAGGGTGACCTGGCCCCCAGGCCCAGCCCACCCCCTGCATGTGTCTCCTTCCACTCAGGCTGTGGATCTCATGTATTGCAAATGTGGTTTTAAACTTTGAGAACAGCAATTCCAGTTTGTAGAAAGTGAGGATCTATGCCTTTGCAGTCATGCACATGTTCATATTTTAAATACAGGTCAATGAGCTGCTGCCTAGTGTGCCTACCAGAGACACACCTGTTGTTAAACTACAACTGGATTTACTGTTCCATTCTGCAAGAATGTGCCATGGCGCTGCGGAGGGTATAGGGAGAGGCTAGAGTCTTGCCACAGGCTGTGTGTGTGCCAGCTGGCCAGGGGTGGCCTAAGGGGAGAGGGGGCTGGCTCTGAGTTGAGCACTGTCAGGAAGCAGGAGGAGGGACGTATACACTGGAATCTTCATAAACCTCATCCCCCAGGAGGCCTGCCAAGAGCAGGACAGGCTGTCACCAAGGCCAAAGCAGCAGTCACCATGTGGGCTGGGAGAGGACACGGCTGGCACTCCTGGCCTGAGAGATGCTCCCATCTGTCTGTATTCAGACAGGATTCCGGAGTGGCTTGTCTTTGTCTTGATGGGACCATCTGGGGACTTGCCTGCTGCTGATGTCCTGAGGAATGGTTTGTGTTCTCCGGGAGAGCCCTGCAACCTCACTGAGGGTGCCAGTCCAGCTCCTGGGACACAACCACCCTCCTTCTTCCCAGGCTTTAATGAGAAACGGGCAGGAGGTGGCCGGAGAACCATAGCCCGTCTTCCGGGGTGCTAGGGGTGTCTGCTGGCAGTTCTGGTCTAGGGCAAAAAGAGATGGGAAGGGGAAATCTCTCAGAAAATAACGGAACCATAGTGGAGCTGCGGCAAGATGAGCAAACTGGGCTGGTGGCATCAAGGCCGTTAGCAAAGAAAAAAGCACCAGTGTCCAGGCAGCCAGGGAGCCCAGCCACTCCCTTAGGGCCGCCCCTCCCAGACACCGCCCCGCCCCGCCCCAAGAGCACACCCCGCGCCCCTCCCTCGATCCTCTCCCCGCTCGGCTCCCCCCTCCCGCGGCTGCATCCCTGGTCAGTCCCTGAGACCGTCCAGAGGTCAGCCCCCAGGATCAGGCTTGCAGTGTTGGGCCGCCCTCCTCACCAGGTGCCGCCCTGGAGAGGGCGAGGGCGCAGAAAGGGCTGAGCGTCCCGGGTCCCTGCGTGGCCGGACGGTACGTGAGCACATTCCAGGAATAAGGAAACGAGAGGAATAGGCATGTCTACCGTCCAAGGCACTTTGCCTGAAATCCCGTGGCACTGGAAAAGCAGTTGAAACAAAAACAAAGTAACGCTGGCTTTTACGCTGCAGATAAACGGAAAAGCAGTGTAGGACGGGAGTAGGAGGGCTCTGTGCACGCCAGGCGCAGCCGACCGGGGATTTGCCTGCACGTCCGACCGCACAGGACGGTCGCCAAGTCCCAGGGAAGCCCCCTGGGCTCGCGCTGCAAACTCAGGCAGTCTCTGCTCCTGCCTTACGGCTCTGAGGGCACGTGCTCCTCCGGGGAGGCTCAGCTTCCTCCTATTTCCCACTTCCTCATCCGGCCCTTAATACGCTAAAGACTAACGGAACGATGTTCATTACCACAGTGGGTGCTCCCCCTAGCGTAGCACAGAACGCAGCGCTGTCCTCACTATTGAATTGGAATGATAGTATTTTTAGTATCAAAAATTAATTCTAGAAATCTATTACAGTTCATTTTCTAGAGAATAAGCGTAGCAAAAATAATATAGATTTGTTTCTTAATTTCCTTATGACACACATCACTGGTTCATGTGATAACGTATGGATTCTCACCTGGAAGACACACGAGGAATAAAATCACCCATATTTTAAACTACAGAATGATGAATATTCAGAGGAAACTTGCAGAACAATTAAAATTGCAAAATCAGCGCCGGGAGCGGTGGCTCGCGCCTGTATTCCCAGCAGCACTTTGGGAGGCCGAGGTGGGAGTATCGCTTGAGCCCAGGAGTTCAAGACCAGCCTGAAAAAATAAAAATAAAAATAAAAAATTGCAAAATTACATAAAATGAAATGCATACATTGAAATGCACACAATTATGAAAATTAAAGTTAATATTAAAAACATGACATGGGCCACAAGATTTACATTAAAATAGTCTAGTTGACAATAACTTGAATATTTAAATAAAGTCCTCTTTGTCTCTAAATAATGTATTTACAGTCTGCCATTATACAAATCACTTAAAATTCAAATGAAGACATTAATCAGTATTGACAATTTCTTCAGGAGTATCAAGTGAATAATAATGATTTTACTTTTTTGTTGCATTTTGTTTTTGACATAAGATCTTGTTCTGTTGCCCAGACTGGAGTACAGCGTCAGGATCATGGCTTACTACAGCTTCTGCTTCCTGGGCTTAGGCAGTCCTCCCACTTCAGCCTCCTGCGTAACTGGGACCACAGATGCGCACCACTAGGCCCGGGTAATTTTTTATTTTTTATTTTTTTTTTGGTAGAGACAGAGTCTCATTATGTCACCCAAGCTAGTCTTGAACCTCCGGGCTCAAGTGATCCTCTCACCTCAGCCTCCCAAAGTGCTGGGATTACAGGCATGAGTCACCATGCCCAGCATAAAGATTTTATTATGTGGAAATAAAAGGACATTAAAATATAACTTGAAATAACCCATTTCCTTGAAATGTTTTATTTTTCCACCAGTTAATCAAACAATGCCAACACTAGACACTGTCACATTCTTTGTTGAACAAACAATACCTCAAATAACTTCACATACATACTACTGGGAAACTTAGCATTTTATTAAAATGTTGTTTAAATTTCATATTTTATCAAAGTCTAACAATTAGTAATAATATATTCTTTTTATTCAACTTTAAAGTTCTATTCAGCAATAGCAATTTATAATTTTATATTAATAAAATGTCATTGATACAGTTTAATAATTATTTTATAACAGCATTAATTAAACCAGCGCAGACGGTATAATGTTCATGATATTTTAATTTATAGGTTTAACTTACACATACATAATTCAACATTAATGGCTTCCTTAATTACTCTACCATTCATATTGTAATTCTATATTATCAATTAGAGTTGCCCTTCTATGTTAATATTAGATGTTTCAGCATCTGTCAGTTCTATCAAGCTCTTCTCACTGTTTCTTCTTTGAATTCCAGACATGACTGCAGTCCTCTCTTCTAAAATCTGAGGGCTCTCGCTGGCTGGGTGCTACTGGAAGAACTGTAACCTGGTTGTTACCTCAACCGTACTTTATTTTAAATGTTTTAATTAAAAGAAGTTTTTAAAAATGTGGAAATCCCTGAGAATATGCACTTCTTTAAATACAGTGGGAATAGGTATGGATGAAGTCTGTTTCTCCTCTTTTGATCCAGGGGCACTTCTCAGAACTCTTCCAAGTGCCAGATCCTGGGCCACTGGCGGGCTTGGCTCCGGCAGCAGTTCAGTTACCCCATCACGACTGGGGCACCAGGGGAACCCCACAGGTGGGCAAAAATTACCAGAGACTAAAACCTAGGCAGTTTAACACAAGCAACCAGCACCAACATCATGGTGCTTGATCTTCTGACTTCCCGCACTACCAATTCTATGTCTCATCACATTCTTCTCTGGCCTCTCGGTTCCCAGCATTCACGAGCACGCACGCTTTAGCCTCTGTTTCTGTTGAAGCCCTTTCTTCATACACCCTAGAACGTAGAACACAGGACAGAGACAGAGACTTTAGTAGGAATACTGACATTTAAAAACTTATCAGAGATGCAAAAAAATCAACTACATGAAATATGGCAATATATTAAGGCTTTGTGAATAAAAACACAATAAAGGGTGGGTGTGTAAAGCTATTTTCCAATCATCCTTCCAAACCAAGGCTTTTGAGGGAACAAGTCCTCCCAGCAGGTGGCAGGATAGGCCCAGCAGTGTCTTCAGCCCGTTGCTGTCGTGAGTTAGGTTAGGAAAGGCTGAATTCTATTTTACATGCAAAAGAAAACATTTATTTAATTAAAGATTCAAGCCACAATACAGTTCTTCATAAAACACTAAAATATTGTGATTATCGATATTTTTCTGTTGCTTTGTCTCATGAAAGCACGATTTGCCTTTGTGAAACCTGAAGTTCCCTATTCTATCAATGAGAAGGTGTAGCAAGTGGAGAGTCCATCCAGTGGATCCAACACCAACTACAAAATGTCTCCCTCTTCCCTAATTTTGCCTTTTTTTCCCTTTGTCATTCTTGAGTCTCTGTTAGTGCACTGAGGAAGTGAAGACGTGTACTTAAAGAAATGCCAACATCTGCTGAAGATCAGATTCCATATTTTGTATTTCAGTTGATGTAATGATTCCTTTAGTTATAATGACTTTAGTTGATGTAATGATTCTAATGAACAGGAAAGATTTTGTTTCCTATTTTAAAAGATACCATTAAATCATGCTGAATATTTTTCAATGTATTATGGATGTGTATTCAAGGGGTTGCCATTTCACCTGCTTCATCTTCCCTCTAAACCAATCTTAAGCCATACCTAAGCTGATTTCATATTACGTGAAAATTCATCACATGATGTCCTACTAGGTCAAAAAGTATAAAAACTGACGTTATGGAGAAAGACTTCATTGCAACCAGGACAGAAAGACACTAAGGCAAACAGTGCTCAGAGTGCCGTACTAACAAGATCTCTGGTGGGAGGCCATTGCCTGGACACCTTCTGGGCTTTGTCCTGGACACCATTCATTCACTTGAGCGTGTTTGGTACCCAGGATTCCTTCAGGTACATCAGTATTCAGTGGAGTGCCCAGAAGTCACATGACTCTCATGTTGGGGGTGCAAAGTCAGACTCAACTTGCTTTGGGAAGTTTTTTTGGGTGCAGGCTGTGTCAGGAAGCTTCCTGGCAGGGAAAAATCAACAGCATCAGCTAGGATGGAAGTACGTCAACTGATGATGACCCTGCACATGTGGCTTCATTAGTGATACATCTGCCAGTCTCCAAAACAGTGCAGATTCAATGCAATCCAGGAGGACATTCACTCACGTGACCAGGCAAAATGCAATTAACAATTCACGGTGCTTTTCGGTTATGGAGACCTTTCTCAGTCTTCTGTTTCCCAAAGGAAACCTGTGTCTTCAGAAACAAATAAACTGATCAAGAGATACTTTCAAATGTTTCATGTAGAATTGTTTCTAATCTTCTAGCGACAGGATACTTTGTGACCCAGAGAATGCACCACTCTCCTGCCTGTGTGTGGGGCTCATCCACTCCCAAGCCATCCAGGGTCTCTGGGTGCTATAATTCAGAGGGTCTCTGAGAGAGCATGAGGGAGACTGTTGACATGAATGGTTTTCTCTGTTGGCTACACCTGTCTTACATGTGTCATTCAATACCTTTATATATTACACTTCAGGACATTCCAGGTCTCACGCAAATCTCGCAGAGGAAATTTTCCAAGGATTTTAGGCCCTCCTCTCCCATTTGGGAGGTTTTGTTGATTTCTAACTTCAGAATGAGGTGTTGGAACATGCCATGTTCTGGTTTCCATGGCCATGACAGAGCTGGACGACAGGGATGACCACAGAGGCACGGTCCTGAAAGCATTGCACAATAAGAATGCAGAGCATCTACTCAGGGTAGGGGATGGCTACAGAAACACGCTCAATTTGTCATGGCGGGTACAGTGGGCATGGGAAGGGGGCACGGGAAGTTTGGCTGGTGTCTTCAGGGGCACCCCAACCTCCACCATGATACCAAAGGAAGATGTAACTGACCACTGGGAGGAGGGTGCCGCATGGTCCTGCTCTGTCCTCTTCAATCTGCTTGGTGCTTTTGCTGTTGCAGAGCTCCTGTGAGGCAGGGTGCTGTGCAGCAGCAGCACTGAGGACGGCATCCACAGTAACAGCCTCTCAGATGTGTGTGAGACACATGTGCAAGGTCAATGGCAGGCCCAGTGCTATTACATGAGCAGCTACTTTTTATAATTATTTTAAAACAATATATGGCAACATTGGAAAGCTGCTTTCCTTTAAAATGGTTCAATGTTTTTAGTTTGGACAAGACACGACTAAATTAATTTTCACATGATTGTGCTCAGGCACAAGCTCATGCATGAGGCGTGACCAAAAATAGTTCTGGAAAGATAAGACCAATCTACGAGCCAAGGGCACACACATGATGGGGGGCACCTTTCGATGGTGGGGACACAGGAGGAGCATGCTGAGAAACCCTGTGAACCGACCTTCCTACCGCCAAGGTTGCAGCCTCCACCGTTGCAGCTCTGACTCACAGTTTACATTGCTGAAGTCAAATAAAATATAGAGATGAATCTCTAAACTTAACAGTGATTATTTAGGAGGCAAGAATGGCAATGTGGGGTATCAATCTGTGAGTATCACAGATCGGGTGGTCTTCAGTATGTTCCAAGAACAAAGATAAAGTTGAGAGTTTTTATTTTAAAATTCATGTGAAACTAAAAAGAACCTGAATAGCCCACGGGCAATTCTAAGCAGAAAGAACAAAGCTGGAGGCATCATGCTACCTGACTTCAAACTGTATTACAGGGCTACAGTAATCAAAACAGCATGGTACCGGAACAAAAAGAGGCACATAGACCAATGGAACAGAATACAGAACCCAGAAATAAGGCCGCAGACCTACAAGTATCTGACCTTTGACAAAGCTGACAAAAACAAGGATTGCAAAAGGATTCTCTATTCAATAAATGGTGCTGGGATAACTGGCTAGCCATATGCAGAAGATTGAAACTGGACCCCTTCCTCTCACCATATACAAAAATTAATTCAAGAAGGATTAAAGTAGAGGTCCTCAACCCCTGGGCAATGGACTGGTACCAGTCTGTGGCTGGCTAGGAACCAGGCCGCACAGCAGGAGGTGAGTGGCTAGTAAGCAAACATTACCACCTGAGCTCCACCTCCTGTCACATCAGCAGTAGCGTTAGATTCTCATAAGAGCGTGAACCCTGCTGTGAACTGCACATGTGAGGGATCTAGGTTGTGCACTCTTTTTGAGAATCTAACTAATACCTGATGATCTGAAATGGAACAGTTTCATCCCGAAACCACCCCCCAGCCTACTGCTCTCTGTGGGAACATTGTCTTCCACAGAATCAGTCCCTGCTGCCAAAAAGGTTGTGGACTGCTGGGTTACAGACTTAAATGTAAAACCCAAAATTGTAAAAACCCTGGAAGACAACCTAGGCAATACTATCCTGGACATAGAAACAGACAAAGATTTCATGACAAAGACAACAAAAGCAATTGCAACAAAAGCAAAAATTGACAGATGGAATCTAATTAACTTAAGAGCTTCTGCAGAACGAAAGAAACTGTCAACAAAGTAAACAGAAAACCTATAGAATGGGAGAAAATATTTGCAAACTATGCATCTGAAAAAGACCTAATATTCAGCATCTCTAAGGAACTTAAAGAAATGTACAAGAGAAATACAACCCCATTAAAAAGCAGGCAAACGACATGAAGAGACACTTTTCAAAAGAAGACAAACGTGGCCAACAAGCATATGAAAAAAACCTCAATATCACTGATCATTAGAGAAACGCAAATCAAAACCACAATGCGATACCTTCTCACACCAGCCAGAATGTCAGAATGCCAATTACTAAAAGTCACAAAATACAGATGCTGGAGAAAAGGGAACACTTGTACACTGTTGGTGGGAGTGTAAATTAGTTCAACCATTGTGGAAAGCAGCGTGGCAATTCCTCAAAGAGCTAAAAACAGAACTACCATTTGACTCAGCAATCCCGTTTGGGATTTATATACCCAGAGGAATATAAATCATTGTACTGTAAAAAGACATGCACACAAATATTCATTGCAACACTGTTCACAATAGCAAAGACATGGAATCAACTTAAATCATCATCAATGACAGATTAGATAAAGAACATGTGGTACATAAACACCATAGAATACTATGCAGCCATAAAAAATGAGGCCATGTCTTTTTCAGGAACATGGATGGAGTGGGAGGCCATTATCCTTAGCAAACTAAGGCGGAAACAGAAAACCAGATACCACATGTTCTCACTTACAAGTGAGAGCTAAATGATGACAACACATGGACACAGAGGGGAACAACACACACTGGAGGGTGGAGGGTGGGGGGAGGGAGAGGAGCAGAAAAGATAACTAATGGGTACTGGGTTTAATACCTGGGTGATGAAAAATCTGTACAACAAACGCACAAGACACGAGTTCACCTATGTACATTGATAACAAGCCTGCACATGCCCCTTCAAACCTAAAATAGAAGTTTTCTTTT